GCATGCGCCGCATTTAACTGGGTTCTTTCGGTAACAAAGAAAAAGCTGAGAATTGCTGGGTTCTTTGCGTCATTACCTTTTCTAACATAGCTTTGTAATAAAAGACTAAAGGCATCAGTACACTGCATTCAATAATGGAGAAAAATAGCACGTATAGTGAGGGTGTTGAGTAAATAAAATGATCGCTCTATTGAAGGCATGTTTTGCATCAGCAAAAGCGTACGTGAAAACTGTGTTCGGCCACCTGAAGCCACCCCAGGCAAACTCACATTAGCTTGGGTCTGAGCAGGCAAATATTTAATCCAATTTGATCCATGTTGGATTTTGTATCCACATGAGAAGCAATTGTGCTACGCAGGGTTACATCCAAGTCTGAAGTCAACTTAGGTTGGATACAAATTGAGTTGGTTACTACTTCTAATGAAGTTAACCATGTAAGTTGGATATAAATTGGCTACCACTTCAAATCAGAACTTGTCTATGTTGTAGTTCAATCAGCATTGGTCCATTTGAAGTTGTATTTAAAGGTTTGTAGACTTGGCTACCATTTTTCTCCATGGGGTCTCCCATATAAATAGGGCAGGTCACTCATTGAAAATTTTGAAAAGAACCCCTGAGAGGTACCAAGGTCCTACTTTGTGGGCATGGCTTGAATTTTTTTTCACCCCCCAAGAGGTACCAATTCTAAAACAACATATTACCCCCTGTCACAATTTTGTTGGGGGCTCAATACGCTAAAAGGTACCGCGGAAGCTCCTACTGTGGACCGTTTGAGGCTGATCACCCTAAGAAGTACCAAAACCACTTTTTTTTAACCCATTTAAGGTATGACTAGCACCTCCATCCTTTTATAAGGGAGTTTCCCCAGGGTACATGTATTTTCTAGTATTCTAAGTGAACCAAGTTTTGATTACTAGTGAGGCCAAACTTAGAAGTCTAGCCATTTAATTTGGTGAGCCCTCAAGTTAAAGTTCACAGGAAACAGAAACCCAGGTGCTTGTTATTTAGTAGCTGTCAAATTTAAATTTCTTGTTTGTGTTACACATTGTATTCAATTTTAGGTTTGTTTCTCTGTGACACCATAGGGGTACTATGCAAGATCTGAAAAGTACTTTCCAATGCTTCAAAGAGAGGAAAAGGGCTGTTTTGAAGTACCAATGATACACTCTACTATCCTGATAGACTTACGGAAGACGATAACTGATAAGTTGAGGTATAATCCACCTCTAGCAAGTTATCACGGAGAAGAGGATGACATTCTTGTTTTTGCACATTCAGCAAGGACAGCTGGTAAGCAAATACCATCACGGTATTCATTGATAAGCACACTTCTCAACTAAGCACCCCAAAATTAACTCTCCAATTCACTGTTTGCTCAAGGTGTACTTTAATTTTCAAAGACAATATTGTCACTAAAAGTTAAAAGGTTGTTCTTACAAGAATTATAAAGGAATATTATAAGCAAGGTGGCAGCCTGGAGTGAAATGACTGGGACACAGACTGAAAAATTTGCAAGACTGAATTTTTATTTGCCCAGTTTGCTTGTCTTCCCCCTCCTCCTCACCAACTCCCTTTCCAAGGTACTCTTCTCCTGGATCCACTATAAATGCAGTGCTTCTGGACATTTTGCATGATAGATTTGAATGCACCTGAACCTTTTTAATCTGTGGCTTATGTAAAACATCATTCTTTTTAACAGGGATAATGCTGAACCTTTTAAATAAGGAAGTTTATGGTTACATGTTAAAGCCTGCAAATGATAATAATACCTTAGAAGACATGAAGATTGACTTCACTCATGAGAAACTGGAGTGGTTTGGTAAGTGATTTCTTTGTTAGCTTGACAGAATTGCATTGTTCTGCGCACCCAGAGCACTAAAAAAATCCTATTTAAAGATAAGACACCTATAGGAAGATACAAATCAAACAAGTTTGAAATTGTTTTGATGACTAATTTTAAACTGGAACACATGCATTTCCTTTACTTTTTTACATTTACATTTGCCCACTAGTTCTGACTATTTAGTGTTATACCGATTACCCTTAGTTAGTTATTGTATTATTTTCATCATTTTCCTTTCTGCTTTACAATCTAATGACATGCCAAAATGTATGATGTTGTTTATTTGGAATTAATAACAAATTTGTTTTGGCATTAGTTGATCATCCAGAAGAATTGATGCCTGTTAGTTCACATGTTTCTGTCCAAAATACTCCTCCTGGAAAGCTGGGCTTTGATGAGGTATGGTCAATTTACTTGATAAATTCAAAATGAAACATCCTTACTCAGTCAATCTATGAGTGTTCTGAAGACTTGGCAAATTTCTTTTGACGAAAAATAAAATGTAGAGTTATAGGTGAGGTCAAATAAAACAGGTTGACCTAATTTCTGAAGCCAGTTTATTCTTCCTAAAAATGTAACTGAAGGTCTGGAAGAATATTGTAAACTGCTGCTTATAAGCTCTCCTGCTTCAAAGCTCCCCCCCTGATTATAGGGCCATCAACCTGTAACCAAAATGTTACTTCTGATCATAGGCCCTTAGATATAACTCCCACCCCCCTCAACTTTATGAAGAAATGAATTTGATTTATTTTGATGTTTCAAAGCATAATATATTAAAAACCAGTATACATGTACGAAAACATGTTTTGATCAACACTGCTGTGGCTCATTTCAAAATGTTTTTTTTTTATTTCGCTTATTAGCCCCTGCATTTATAAGCCCATCCAAAACCTTGTACAAAGTTGTATAAGCCCAGGGCTTAGAAGTGGCAGTTCACAGTATTTATAAAATGAGATGATACATGAGTTAAGGTAATTCCATCAAAATAGAACTGACAATAGCTTTTCTCTCGAACTTTACCTGTATGCTGCTTACATCAAGAGAACTTAAATTTTGAAATAAGAAAGGGGGATCCCGGTATTTGTTTAGGAGCAGAAAGACCTTAAAATAAACCCCATAACTCCTTAAATTATCTGCTTTCAGAGACATTTATATTTGAACCATTCACTTTATGCTTTGTGAGAGCAGAAAAAAAAGGTGAAAGTTAACTGAAAAAACATCAATGGATGTACTGCATCAATGTTAAGGAGCAATTTGATGTAAGCTTCATGATAAAGGCACCCATATTTAGCCAACCGCGATTCGATATGTTCCAGGCATGCAGTGTTCTTGAGAGCACATATTATCTTTTCCGAATACTAGCTATGCTCTCATTTTCAGTGATAGTTTTTCAAGAAACTGGTCTATATTCAATGTACAGAAAGAAGGTGATTGCTGCATTCGAACGAAATAAAAAATATCATTAGGTCCTGGTACTCGTTTCCGAGAAAAAATGATGATTTGTCTCTCGCAAGCCAAGCCGTTTAGCAAGAGCCACCACTTTGTATATGTTGTGCATATGCACGTGCTTATGAGCGTGCGCTAATGACACGAAAATCGTGTGCAGTAGGGATGCGCAAAACATCCCATGTATCCATCTCTGACATGCATACCCAAGGAGAGTACTGTAGACTTTCCTTATTTACAAGAATATATATGTACACACATAATACTGGTTTCTAAGGAAACACTGTCTTCAGTAGTTAATTTTGCAAAAAATACTTTCCATTAGATATATCTCATCAACCTCAAAAGGAGGCCTTTGCGTAGGAAAAGGATGCTGGCATCCCTTAAAGAGTTAGGAATTAGTGTTAAGATGTTGGATGCTGTTGATGGCAAGTAAGTACTGCCCTTCCTCCTGTATCACGCATTTATATTCATGTGTTACTTAACTCACATAATCATGATCTTTTGGCAGGAAGTGTCACACTCATTCGATTTATGACCTGTACTTCGTTGCAGGGATGTAGCTAGGAAAAACTAAGGAGGCTCGTAAGGAAGCTTTCCTAGCCAGCTTGTACGTTCAGTGAAATTGGCTCTCATTGACTGAACTTAAAAGTTATCATCTGACATGCATGGTACCTGGGGCTGTATAGACCCTTTCTGTAAATGGCTGCCAATTCTTTTTTATGCATTTAAATTAACGTTGTTTGAAAGTAATTATAAACTTTAAAACGAGATAGATAAGGCTAATTAATTTTTAATACTTACGAGAGAATGCATCATTGGCAACATTTATTAAAGGGTCTGTATGAGCCAACCATTGCAGCTAGGCTTACTCTGAAAAAGCATTTGATTATTTTAAGTTACCCACTAAATAGCACGAAACAATACTGTATTGAACTAGAGGAGATATTTTTAGCGTGTGATTCAACATTTATTTGCACTCAAGCAGCTTGCTGCTGTTTTTGCACACATTCTTATTATCCACTAACCCGTTGCATGGTGTTTTCCTGTTTCTGAGTGATTACGTTGTTTTTTCGTTATATTACATATGACTTTGTCACTTTTGGCAGATCATTAACTGACCAACAAGTGAAGGACATGGGAATAAAGATGTTACCAGGTTACAGTGATCCATATGGAAAAAGGTGAACAGCCGTACCTTCATAATCATTAAGCCAGGAACTTGTCAGTCCCATTCTGTAAACTTTTATCGTTATTTGCCCCTTTGACACACTCCAACTCCATTCTGTAGAAAAGCAACAAATACAACAACAGCATTTAGATTTGACTCACGTACCTCTCTTCAGAAGCGAACAAATTAAACATACTGACAGAAAATGCAAGCTGTCGCCAAAGGTCTGTACCTTCCAAGCACCATGTAATGGCGGACCTCTTCTCACTGCAAGTGCACGGGAAGACCGCAAAGGCACAAGGGATGAACAAGAGTTTCGGTCTTCCCACTTTTCTTTGCGGGCGTAATCGATCGTCTTTTTCAAGACGATTGAGAACGAGACCTCAAAATAATTTTTAAAGTATTTTTCGTTGCTGCCAAACCTGCCAAAAGTCGATGTGTTGTACATTTACTGGAAAAACTTCTATGCCAGTAAAATGAGACGAAAATGGAAATGAGAAGAGCATTCCAATTTCTTCTTAGTTTGATATGAACAATACACGTTCTTCTCGCATATGTACAGCTGTATTTTCCTACAATAAAAAAGGTCATTTTATCTCAGTTACATTACAATATCTCAAGGTGGCAGGTGACCTGAGAATCAGTTCAGAAAATCATCACTCCACGTATTTACCTTCTTAATGCCCGGCAGAATCTCGCAACTTTCATAAGGGGACAAATGGCAGTTAATAATGAGGACTTGACATTTTAAACTGTGACCGGAGAAGCAAAAATATGATTTCCTTCATCTCCTTTTCTTTAGACCTCTAACCATGGGAGAGATCGGATGTTTCTTGAGTCATTACCTTATATGGGAAGAGGTGAGAGGCTCTGTTTAGTTTCCAATTTCTTACGCGAGCGTTGCGGAACAGTAAAACTTTTCATTGCAATGATTTGGTAAATAGCTCACCTTTAACCTTTTATCATCTCTTTTTTTTTTTGTAATTGTCAGATGATTAACAACGGCTTAGCTCAAGTGCTGGTGTTAGAAGATGATGTACGATTCGAACCCGACTTTAGAAATCAGCTGCAATATTTGCTTGAAGAGGCGAACGCCCTGTCGAGCAAATTCCACTGGGAACTAATGTAAGTTTTTAATACACCTACTTTTCTTTAATCGATGTACAATAACTCGGAACTAGCCAATCATCGGAAAGATAATGATAAAAGCAACCTCGTTCCCAGGCTCTCTCTAGTTTGCCTCCCTCTTCGTTGAGGCAAAAGAGAGAGAGCCTTCGAACGAGGTTGTGCTAAAATATCATCGGGAAGACTAGACCCAAGTGTGATTTGCTGAGGAAAATACTCCCCAAATGATGTTGGACGTGTTAGTAGCGCATGATTCTCCTGTTTTAAAATAGGCAAGTCTGTTATTTGTTTTATAGTTATATTGGACGGAAGCGATTTCACAGTAAGCCCGTAGAAATGGTGCCTGGAGCACAAGCACTGGCCTGGGCTGACTACACCTATTGGACGCTGGGATATGCTATCAGTTTAAGCGGCGCCCGCAAGCTCGTGTCTGCTAAACCCCTTGAGAAGATGGTAGCCGTGGACGAATTTCTGCCGATCATGTTTAACAGACATATAAAGTAAGAATTAGTCTCGGCATGTCTTCCTGTACATTTGTGTTTGTAGCTTTCTTCTTTCAGCTAACATCCAACTAGAATTGAACTCAAAAACTACCAGTATTGGATCGTAGTTTTGTTGAACACTCCACTTTATTTCCATCATTTTCATTCACAGCATCTAACCTGCCGGAATCCTCCGTAGGAAAAAAGATGGCGACTGGTACATTTACCCATAGTTCTTAGCGCACGAAAACATTAACATTAACCTAGGCTACTTAATGTCCTTAGTACAGGGACATATATTGTAAAAATTTGCTTTTCTTTGTGCCTTTTAGGCTGTGTTAGGTTCGCAAGGCCTTGTGGTAAAATGTACATCCGCCATCTTTTTTCTTACGATGAATTTTATAAAAACTGTAGACATTTCTTGTGCGCTGATTGGCTAATTTTCGTTGTCAATAAGCGGACAGTTACGTGAATTTATAATTTATGCGATGTTGACGCAACGAGCGAGAGCGGACAATTTGTTATCGTAAAAAACAAATTGACGTCATTTTTTCATGCGTCTATCCTGTTATTGACAATAAATTTTGTCATAACATTTCCAAGGTAGTCTGCGGACCCACTCGGCTATCGCCTCGTGGAACCACGGCTACTTACTTTGATAACGTTATGACGAAATTCATGATCAATAACAGGACAAACGCATGAAAAACTGACGTCAATCTGTTCAATCGGGAAATGCCGTCTGCCGTTCGCCAGAGCAATCTATTACGTCAATTATGACAGTCGGTAACTTGTGCTTTTAGTGTGAACGCCCGTTTAGCTTTTCGAATGCCCCGATTGTCTGCCTTAAGTCTTCTTCATTTCTCTTAACAGTGTTTTTTTCCTTTGCAGTTCGGAATGGAGTAGTCACTTCTATCCTCGAAACCTTATTGCGATGACAGCCGAACCGTTGCTCCTGTACCCAACTCATTACGTTGGAGATGACGGTTACTTCAGCGACACAGAAACAACTGGCCTGATTCCACCGGAACTAACTCAAACTGAGACCCGACTTAAGGGACTGAAAGCGGGAAAAGTTGAACTTTGACCTTGTTTACAGAAGCCGCCATTTGTACATGTCGTATAACGCCTGCCAAGGAAATGAGGCAAATTAGGTATAAACCGAATTTTGACGTAAAGTGTTATTGTTAAGTTAGGAAACTAAGGTAAGAACTGTGCGGAATTTGCAGTGCTTTCAAGCTCACTGGCACTCCATTATTAAAAACTGAACTGATTCTGTTCGGCAATTTCCGAGTTGTCTTTTGCCTCTGTGTCAAAACGAGTTTTCGTGCAAAACTATTCTTATGAAAATGTGTTCCGCCTACAGATTCACTTTCATGTATACGAGACTCATTTTCATGACAGGTTTTGCACAAGAACTTGCTTTGAAACAGAGGCACAAGCGAACTCGCAATCACTAATTGCTGTAGTTAAAAATGTAATTCAAGACTGGACTCTTTATAGAGCCTGGAACCTCGCATTTTCACAAGAGAGATAATGACGTACACTAAAAAAATATTTCCCCCGAGCAATTATCACCCAATCGATCGGAGATGGTACTGATCTCAGAGGATGCTCACTACTTCCATCCCCAGGGGAGTACCTCAGCGTCATTAGTATGGAAAGTTTTTCTCTCGAATGTCAGATGTCTCTATCAAAAGGATAGAAAAACTGCTCTCCAGTTAGCTACGACATAGGGGCAGGGGGGGCAGGGGGTGGGAATGCTTCCATACCGTTGATCAAGTCGCTCATGCTACAGAGTGTCAGACTACATGCAGCTCCACTGGACTGCTGTTATAGCTCAGATGTACTGAAATAATGCTAAGAAATCTGACTACATATGCTGTAAACTGATGTAGGT